GTGCAGAGTGCTATAACAAATATGGAACTCGTACCATTATGTTGAACAAGTTGTTGAAAACAACCTTTGAGGCGAAATAGCTTGTACATTATTGAAGAACACATTCAAGGAAAACGAAGTGTTTTTAAGGAGGTTGAGTATTCGAAATAAGTAATTCCAAATAGACTAAAAGCAATGGCGCACGACACAACATGAAAGATCAAAATTTGAAAAATAATACATTAACTAATGCTTACTTAGCAGGAAGGATCACCATCAACGCATGTACAAGTATTACAGTCATCTTTATATCTTTCACCATTGTAGTACACCTTTCCATCAACTTCACAATCTTCAAGTTATAATGAAAAAAATATTGCAAGCAGATTCTGTTGTCAAGGCGACAGACGAGTATTAAAATTAGCAGGACAATTCAGGGGGTTTCATTTGGTGCAAAAACCATACTGTCTATCTAAAACGATATTTCGACATTGGGTATTGGGTAAATACATAAAATCTAGTAATGAGACGTCTAAAATATTGGCAACGTACCTTGACCTGATGGAAAACAATACTTTTTGGTACAGGCTGCACCTCCTCTTACACACTGACATTTGTTACACTCTATTTGGAAGCCTTCCCCTTCTTTATACTTTATCCCATTGTGTTTACATGTGCCTGTAAAATTAAAGATTAACGAAAGTACCCGTGCTAAAGACTGATTCCTAATGCAAATGACTCGGCGGAAATGAAATAACTTTGTAAGTGATGATAAGTACTTGAAGATGCCTAGGCAGATCATTCAAAATTATAAAAAAATATATTTAATAATACTTACTTGGCTGACAGTCTATTTTTGTGCAGACAGGATCACCATCAACGCATGTACAAGTATTACAGTCATCTTTATATCTTTCACCATTGTAGTACACCTTTCCATCAATTTTACAATCTTCAAGTTATAATGAAAAATATATTTCAAGCAGATTCTGTTGTCAAGATGACAGACGAGTATTAAAGTTAGCATGCACAGAAGTCTCGTTCTTAAGGTTCACATTCCTCTAAATTTAGATTCACAGATGGTGCAAAGAAACATCTATCTAACCTTACATTAAGCTAAATATATCTAGTCATGTGCCGTCTAAGATATTGGAAACGTACCTTGACTTGATGGAAAACAAGACTTTTTGGTACAGGCTGCACCTCCTCTTACACACTGACATTTGTTACACTCTATTTGGAAGCTTTCCCCTTCTTCATACTTTATTCCAATGTGCTGACATGTGCCTGTAAAATTAAAGATTAATGAAATAACCAGTGCTAAAATATACAAACATCACAAATATAAAGTTGATTCCTAATGCGAATGACTCGGTGAAAATAATGACTTTGTGAGTGATGATAAGTATTTGAAGATGCGTAGGCAGATCATTCAAAATTATAAAAAAATATATTTAATAATACTTACTTGGCTGACAGTCTATTTTTGTGCAGACAGGATCACCATCAACGCATGTACAAGTATTACAGTCATCTTTATATCTTTCACCATTGTAGTACACCTTTCCATCAACTTTACAATCTTCAAGTTATAATGAAAAATATATTTCAAGCAGATTCTGTTGTCAAGATGACAGACGATTATTAAAGTTAGCAGGATAATTAAAGGGGGTTTCATTTGGTGTGAAAACCATATTGTCTATCTAATACGACTTTTCGACATTGGGTATTGGGTAAATACATAAAATTTTACAACTACACCAATATATTAGGATATGTCATATTATTAATATTGGACTGAAACAAAATGAGACTACTAGCTGAAGCTGCAGATACATTACAAACAATTTTAGAACAGAAGTCTCGTTCTTAAATAGCCCATTCGATTACTTGCGTCGCGCTTACTCGTGGAAGATGAAAAAAATATTGGAAGCAGATTCTGTTGTCAAGATGACAGACGAGTATTAAAGTTAACATGTCAATTCAGGGGGTTTCATTTGGTGTGAAAACCATGTGTCTATCTAATACGACATTTCGACATTGGGCATTGGGTAAATACATAAAATTTTACAACTACACCAATATATTAGGATATGTCATATTATTAATATTGGACTGAAACAAAATGAGACTACTAGCTGAAGTTGCAAATACATTACAAACAATTTTAGAACAGAAGTCTCGTTCTTAAGAATAGCATTTATCTAAATTTAGATTCACAGATGGTGCAAAGAAGCATCTAACTAACCATACATTGAGATAGATATCTAGTCATGTGACGTCTAAAATATTGGAAACGTACCTTGACTTGATGGAAAACAATACTTTTTGGTACAGGCTGCACCTTCTCTAATACAACGACAATTGTTACACCCTATTTGGAAGCTTTCCCCTTCTTCATACTTTATTCCATTGTGCTCACATGTGCCTGTAAAATTAAAGATTAATGAAATAACCAGTGCTAAAATATACAAACATCATAAAAATAAGGCCGATTCCTAATGCGAATGACTCGAGCGGAATTGAAATGACCTTGTAAGTGTTGTAAACGATCTTTTTTCAAATGAAATCCATTCCTAAAAAAAAACATGAAACGCAAGGCACTATATAATTCTAAATTATTAAAAATACATTTAATAATGCTTACTTGGCTGACAGTCTTTTTCTGTGCAGACAGAATTACCATCAACGCATGTACAAGTATTACAGTCATCTTTATATCTTTCACCATTGTAGTACACCTTTCCATCAACTTTACAATCTTCAAGTTATAATGAAAAATATATTTCAAGCAGATTCTGTTGTCAAGATGACACACGATTATTAAAATTAGCATGCCAATTCAGGGGGTTTCATTTGGAGTGAAAAAAATAATGTCTATCTAATGCGACTTTTTTAAATTGGGTAAATACATAAAATTTTACAACTACAACAATACATTACGATATGTCGCATATTATTAATATTGGTCCGATACTGGATGAAGCTGCAAATACATTAGAAACGATTTTAGAACAGAAGTCTCGTTCTTAAGAATAGCATTTATCTAAATTTAGATTCACAGATGGTGTAAAGAAGCATCTATCTAACCATACATTGAGATAGATATCTAGTCATGTGACGTCTAAAATATTGGAAACGTACCTTGAATTGATGGAAAACAATACTTTTTGGT